CTCCTCATCACTGTCAAAACTCCCAACCATTAGCTTGTCCTCATCTGTGTCTGATGACAAATATCTGTCTTCATATATTGCCTCGTCCTCAGTTCCATCTATGGCATTTGAAATCTACAACCAATGTATAAGATACATCCAGTTTGTAGACCCCAAATTGATCGAAAAAGGGTGCACCTCATACATGGGGAAGTACGGTACTCATGAAAGATCCTGGGAAACCAAGCAAGAGATAGGCAGTAGAAAGAAGCTACCCTCCCTGTAGGCTGCAGTTTGGTGACAGCTGAAACCAGGACAAGTCTGTCCTGATAGGAGGGAGAGACAAGAACACAGCAAATGCCAGAAATACGCCTTGAGATAGACAGGATGGGGAGAAATATCCCCGTTTCAATGTTCCTCCCAGTTTCCAATCTCTGCCAGTGATTGATCACATCCAGCTGGAAACCAGCTGGGAGGGGAGCCTGTGAAACTGCCTAGAGAGGAGCTACTGAGAGGAGGGCAGGAGAAAGACCCAGAAGGCATCTGAGGGCACACAGGCTTAAGGGCAGCACAGTATTTTGCTAAAGATCTTATAGATGCATCACACTACATGTACCCTGAACTTAATTCACCTTCTTCCCTATTTTACCTCCTTCTTCTCCTATGTGCTTCAACCACTCACAAAATCTATGCCTATTTACACCATAATTTGCATAGTTTGTTATCATTGTTCTTTGATTAAAATTTACCAATTCCACTGCCTGTCTCCTTCATAAGGCTGAACAACTCTCAGACCAGAGCCATGGTTTTATTAATCTTGATGTCCCAGCACTTAGTAGAAAGAGTGCTCCCAGAGATACTTCAAGAGTGTTTGTTGAGTGAATGAATAAATGATATAATCATATGTAAAAGTAATAGCATTACTTTTAACATACTAGAATTCTAATAGCATACTAGAATTCAGGTATATAAAAAAGTATTTCATGTGATTTTTTTCTCAAAGTTTTAGCTATTTAATTTCACCTTTCTTTTAATCTTAAAGTTCATAAATAAGATCATTTTAGTATAAATGTTTACAGCTATCAATGAATGGAAATTGTTCACCATAACACTGTTTTCTACTTGTATATGAGTCCCACATAAAACATGCTTGTTTTCCAAGAAGAGGCCAATCATAGGCTACTTTATATTTTATTTAAACTTATGAGTCAATATATTTATATTCTAGTGAACTGGCACTTATGAAAAGTTAATCTCAAATTAGTTATTGAGCAGAGGGGCTGGGGTTCAGGATGGAAACAAGATGGAATACGTAATACAATCTGAATCGCTTATAGTCATGCGCCCTTTTGGTAGCAATATTTTGGACACATTCTTTTGACTGAGTTACTTTTGACATTTAGATAATAAGCAAATTTATAATTTGCTTATCTATGTGAAGTGGGACATGAATAATTCTATAAGAGATATATAAGAATGCTAACAATATGGAGAAGAAAACTGGAATAAATATTAAACTTTTAGGAAAAATTTTAAATTAAGAATATATAGACAGATAGAGCAGAAAATCATAAAATTAGACAGAAATGTATTTATTCTAAGCAGATCAGAAGACATTAATTTAAAGTGCAAGGTGTTTTGTCTTCACAGAAATATGGAATTAACTTTATGTTGTACTTAAGGTATATGTATGATGTATATTTTGTTTTCAGTAAACCAGAGGATTGCTTTCACTTTCTTTTGTTGACAGTAACATAAACAACTATTTTATGGGAAAACAAACAAACAAACAACAAACAAAACAGAGCTGTTCAATTTGGTTTTAGGCATAATATATTTTCATGACTGGATTACTCCTCTTTTTAATTCTTCATCAGGGCACCAGAAAAACAGTGTTTCTTTGTAGATAAGTACATTTTTCTTGAAATTGTAGATCTTACAGTGTTCCCCTTCATCCTGAGTCCTTCATGTTATTCATTTAAGCACGTGTTTTATGGACATTCAGTCCATTCTAAGGGAAACAGATTTCCAAAGATGGCCTCTAGGACAGCGTACTTTAAATGAAAAGTATATCATAAATTTTAAGCAATCACCTTTATACAGCTTGTTTTCATAAAGTTTTATTCTTGGTATGGAATTATAGTGGGCAGAATACAAAAAGTCATGTTGTACAGGGTTGGAATTTCATGTTGAACATGTCACTGAGAAGTTTTCAATGCTAAATAGCCATGTCCTTGTTCTACTTATTGAACAAGTCTATTGACTTGGTGTTCTGATTTTTTTTTTAAATCTATTTTCCACCTAGTCATTTTGTCTAATAATGCTTCATCTTCTCTATAGCAGTGACTCATAAATTTTAATCCCTGCATGAGACTAATTCAGTGGGTCAGAATGTGAGATCAATAGAAGGTTCTGGGGTTCTGACCTAAGTTGTAGTGGAAAATATTAACACTCTTGTGGACTCTCTACTGGTGAAATGTTGAACTTCCACAATGTAAGTAAGTGCACAATGCAAAGTGCAAATAAACTCTGTGTTTGGCACACAGTTAGCACCATCTAAAGTGAAGCTAGTATTAAATTAGAAGTAGATGTAAGATAGAGCCATTTGGATCCCAGCCAAAGGAGTGAAATTACTCAAGATTGATAAATATCATGCACTTGTTGGGAGAGCTCTACAAAACCACTTCTCTTAAAGATTTAGGTCAAATCAATTAGACTTTCCAATTATGTTTTTCCAATATACATTAAAACCCTCTAATATTCTCAAGATAGACAACATGGCCTTTTCCTACTTTTTTTTTATTAGATGTAGTTAATAGTATTATTCTTTGCTAGTGGGCATTCATGTATATTACATATAGTGAGTAACCAATTTATTCTCCTAAACCAGGTGTTCACAAGTTTTAGAATAAGGAATCAGGATTATAACTTTGCATGAGGTTTAATTTGCCTGGCTGCATGCATTTAAAGAACAAATAACCCAGGCCAGCCGAGTGGCACATTGGTTAAGAGCTGGCTTGGGATGCCAGAGGGCCCCGGTTCGGATCCCACATATGAGGGCCAGTGACACTGCCCTCTACAGCTAAG